GTAGCTACCATGAAAAGGCCTTAGGCGCTATTTGAAATATTTGAAATTTACCGGGAGCACCTGTAAATTTTTGATTATTCAATTTCTCGAAAGCACAAGTGTTTTAGGGGGCTAAATTTCTAGTGATTATAACACATCAACAGGGGCATCCCAATATATCAATAATTTTAAAGAATTACTATCCATTCAACTTTCAACATTTCCCAAAACTTTGCATAACCTTTAGTGACACCACACATAGATCCAGATTTTGGAAATTTAATAAGAATCTGTTAACAAAAAGTGATTATTATGAAGAAGTAAGAACGAATGCATTTCTTGTATGTCTTGGCGGGATATGTATGCAAAATTAGAGCCAATTAATACTCAATAAAATATGCCAAAAGTAAGAGAAGCAAAGAAAATGATGTCACGATTTCAGAAGAGAAATTACAAAAATCAATGACAAAATGTGAACGGACACTCAATGGTGAAAAAATGCAGGAAACTATAAATGAATATTAAAAGACTTCCAAATAACTAGAAAAGTATACCAACAGAACTGTAAAAGCTCAATAATCAGAAGAATAAGAAGGAGAGAAGAACTCTAAATATTTTATGTCATTAGAAAAGCGAAATTTTGAAGAAAAAAAAAATCAAATTTTGCAACTAGGCAGCGACAAAGGCAAAAATTTAAGAAAGCATCAAATATAAGAAAATGTGTATATCAACTTCATTTAAACTTATTAGTTAAAAAGAAAGACAGCTTAATTTAAAAGGATATTTTACTGATTTACACACTCCTAATTTAACCGATGAATTAGCGGAACCATGGGCAAATTAACGGATAAAAATGTCGGCAAGTTGTTTTTTAGTTTGCTAAAAACAAAGCGCCTGGATATTGCCCTTCTTCCTACACGAATAGTGAAGGTTTTGAATAGTGAATGTTTTGTTTAGAGGATATACAAATGTTCCAACATTACAAGAGGATGGTATATACTTGGTTCGACTTATAAGAGACAGTAGAAAGAAATATAACAAATTCATTAAAACAAATCTTATTTAAAGATGAAGTTGAGTTCTGGTCATGCGATTGCATTGTGAAAGAAACGGTGTGGAATCGACCAGGAAAGTTTGATCACTTAGCATATAAGTATTCGTGTGTAATGCAAGGTTCTGGAATCATCAAAAAGATTTTAAAAAATTAGCCAAGTCTTGGTAAAGTTACAAACATTGTACATAGAAAGATATATTTGGGACTACACAAACACGTGGCGTAAAAATCCGTCCCGATTTTTACGATGTTACATGGCATATTTAGAATATGAGGGCAATTGAGGAGCCATGCTTTTCAGGGAACATGTTTTATCTGAAGTTCTTCCACACTTGCATAATAACTATGATAACGCTCACAAATTATTGTTCACCTCTTCCCAGAACTCAACCTTCTCTTTAAGAGCGAAGGCATTTTTGTTTAACTCAAATAGAAGAGATCAAAACCAAACAGTATTATTTAAAAAAAAAGGTTTGAAGTAGGCTTATTGAAAATCAATGACATCGTAAAAGTCTCTAGATTCATGTCTTTGAAAGAAATTAAAAAAATATTTGAAAAAACACGCTTCTTTGTTTCAAGAATATTATATTATAGTAAATGCGATTACCACAGTTTGGAAACACACTGGCCCGAATTCATGAAGGAGGTTTAAATTTAACCCATGGTTTAAAATGAGCGCTAAGGCATTGACATTGACAATTAATTCTCATGTCAACCACATTGGGATATTGCAGAAGTTTAATATCAGTTCGAACTTGTCAATTTAACACTTTAAATTATACACTTCAAATCGAATTAAAGAGAAGGTTAAGTTCTGGGAAGAGGTAAAAAATAATTTGTGAGCATTACTCATTCTTATTATGCAAGTGTGGAAGAACATCAGTTAAGACATGTTCCCTGAAAAGCATGGCTCTTCAAATGCCTTCATATTCTAAATATGCATGTAAAATCGTAAAAATCGGGGGCCGGCTTTTTACGCCACGTGTTCGTGTAGTCCCATATACATCTTTCTGTGCAAGTGTTTGTAACTTTACCAAGACTTGGCCAAATTTCTTATCAATTTGATGATTCCAGAACCTTGCAATACACACACATTCTTATATGCTAGATGATCAACCTTTTCTGGTCGGTTCCACACCGTTTCTTTCACAATGCAATCGCATGACCAGAACTCAACTTCATCTTTAATGTTAATCAAGACAAAATTACACTATCGAAAATAGGTAGAAAAATTATGATCATAATAATACTAATAAAAGTAAAAATATTAATAATAATACTAATAATTAAAAAACAAAACGATAATAATAATTACAACGATAATTAGTGAGAACATTAATGGAAGCATTTGAAAAAGAAAGTTACTGGCACCAGTCAATTGGTATTTGAATTAATGAATTACTGAAAATATTCTTGATAACAATTTGATAATGTGATATAAGACAAGAGAGAGAAACATGTTTTGTGCACATACTTAAATTCATGAAAACGAAGCATTATTTTCGACAGAATTTTACTAAGCTTAACACGTATTTGTACATTATTGGAGTTAAAAAGCTGTTCAATTTTTAGTGTATTTGGTCTTTCAATAACATATTCATCGATGAAAAAAGTTCCGTCTGAACGGAAGGCAGGGCATAAAAACAAGTATTAAAACTCATCCCCAAGCGACATATCGTCATTTCCCTGGGAATATTTGAATATTTACCAGCTACAATCGGCAGGTAATGATTGCCAGAGCGAAAACGACTTGAAATTGTCCAATCTCTTTAAATGAGATTGATTAAGTATCTTTCTATCGATAGCTAATACAATGCGAATTATCGTACATACAAGCAGACCAATGCTGAGCATGAGAATCTCTTAAAAGGAAAGTTGAGTTCTGTTGCAGAGGGCGCTACACAAAATGATTTTTTTGTGAGATAATGAAAAACTGAGTGTCAAATTTGAAAGAACATAATATTTAAATGACAAAATCATCTTTGTTTGATCAAAATCGGTTCAGAGACGGCTGAAATATAACGATTTATAATACTTGTGTACCATCACAAATATTAGATATTTTGAAAATTTGAAAAAACCGTTGAAAATAAACGAAATAACGACTTTGACGACGTATTTCAGCCTCGGCCCCCCCCTCCCACTCAGTGTTATTTAGGTTACGCATATGCTCGTTCCCTCTTTTTGAAAGCACCCCCTATCTGAGGACTGCCAACATTTCCGAACCCCCCTTTCGCGGGCTTTTCGCGGGCTTTTCGCGGGCTTTTCTTGCCTTGGAGTCCCCCTAAATCGGGAAAAATGCTCAATTAACCCCCCCCCCAATTCGGAATAATTTCTCAGGATTCCAAAGAGATGAGAGAAAAAAAGAAAAACACCCTCTTTTTAAAGAAATCTCCGGGTGAAAAGTCAAATACACCCCTTTTTTTACAATTCTCGGGCCGGACTTTGTCGCACGAAAAGTACCCCTTTACCGGACATTTTGGCAACACGCATGCGGTCATTTCGAAACCTGAGTTGGGGGGGGGGGGGGGGGGGGGGGGGGGGGGGGGGCCGGGATTTCAGCCAATGCCGATGTTGGCTTTTTTGTTGACATTTTCTTGTTGCTTATATTACCCTCAATTAGCCGGCTCATGTATTGTTATTTTTAATTAAATAATTAATTAACGGTCACCGTGTTTTTTGGAAAGTGGAGCTGACTGAATTGGTATGATCGTATTGGCTAAATTTCACACATTTTGGGGTCTAAAATTACCTTCATAACACTTTTAGGTTCTAACTGGGCACTATAAGTTTCATAGATAAGAATAAGAGCAATAACCATGCACTGTGAAGGCATTTACGGTCTGAAAACAGATTTCAACTATCCCTTTAAGTAAGGAAGTGAGCGATGTTATTGAAGAGTACAATTTCATAGATATATGGGGAAAACAAAACTCATTTGATTAACAATTCACTTTCTCCAAAAAATGATCCAGAGACAACGTCGGCAGACCTAGATTAAAAGTTCATGTGTAATTAATCCCATGTTTCGTCTTTCACTTCCTCCAAAACAATAGCTATTTTTTACTTTATTGAAGAGTAAAATTTCATAGATGTATGGGGAGAACAAAAATCATTTGAATAACAATTTACTTTCGCCAAAAAATGATCCAGAGACAACGTCGGCAGACCTAGATTAAGGGTACATGAGTAATTAATCCCATGTTTCGTCTTTCACTTCCTCCAAAACAATAGCTATTTTTTATTTTATTGAAGAGTAAAATTTCATAGATATATGGGGAGAACAAAAATCATTTGAATAACAATTTACTTTCGCCAAAAAATGATCCAGAGACAACGTCGGCAGACCTAGATTAAGGGTACATGTGTAATTAATCCCATGTTTCGTCTTTCATTACTTCCTCCAAAACAATAGTTTTTTTTAATTTAAAAAAACATGAATTGTTACGGTTACACTTTATATGGTTTGATAACGGCCATTAGCCAATGAACTGCAGGAGTAAAAATGTATTTCGGGGGGGGGGGGGCGTGTCCATTTTCATTAAAGAAAAGCTTTGAAAACCTTGTAAAATAAAGCAAACCTTCAAAATAGATTTAGAAAGTAAGTGAAGAATGTTATGGAAGGTTTACATTTGATAGATATAAGGAAAGAACGAAAACTATCGAAAAAACAATTAACTTTCACCAAATCTGATCCAGAGACAATGTTGGCTGACCCGAACATAAAGTACTTGAGTAATTGATTTCATTTTGAAGAGTAAAATTTCATAGATATATGGGAGAACAAAACTCATTGGAAACACAATTCACTTTCGCCAAAAAATGATCCAGAGACAAGGTCAGTTGACCTAGATTGAAAGTGCACGTGTAATTAATCCCATTTTTCGTCCTTCATCACCTCCTCCAAAATCTATAGCTTTTTTTTAATTGAAAGATTTTGCACTTATACGGTTAGATGGTCCGATATCATCAGCCAATAAACTGCGAGAGGAATAGTGTCATTCGGGAGGGGGCGTGTCCCTTTTCATTAAAAAAAGGCTTTAAAAAGCTTGTAAATTCGGACGAAATCATCATTTAGGGTGAAAAGTGAAGGTTCATCAAACAGCTGACTTTCTTTCAATATTTACGACATTCTCGCATCCTAGCAGTATGGACTCCAAGACCGCATTAAACACACCAGAGGTGAGATTTATACCTTACTTTTTTGTGGGGGGATGGGGTGGCGTATAATATGTATTCATAAAAACAAGTTTGTAAGAATTAAACGCGTGCTTTTATTCCTGTTCTTTTTCCTTTCTTTCCTTCTTCTTCCCCCCCCCCCCCCCCCCCCCCCCCCCACTCAGTATTATTTAGGGTACGCATAATTATGCATGTTCCCTCCTTTTGAAACACCCATCTAAGTCCGGTGTTTTAAGTCATTACGGGCGGGTTTTTGTGTACTACGAGCCGGACTTTGGTGCGTGAAATGTACCCCTTTACCGGACATTTTGGTAACACGCATGGTATCCCTCCGTTCACGGAGTAGGGGGGGGGGGGGGGGTAGTTCACACAAATGAAAGCTCTGCTTTTTAGTGGATTTCTTTGTTTTCCTTCAAATCTGTCTTAAGTTATGATACTGCATATATATTTTGTTTCTTACAATACTTTGATTACTTGTTGACATTTAAGATCTAAAAATTACCAACATTAAAGTCTTCTTTTTATGTCAAATTGCCAATGTCATTTTTTATTTATTTTGATGAAAGCATTTTTCATGCTTTGATTGATTTATAGAAATACAATTAATAGAACTGGATTTAATTTAATTGAAGAATCGACACGATAAAACTATGTGAGATTAACAAAATCTAATCATTATTATGCCTAGGTCATACTGTGTGTCAAAATCATCTGAACATCTTTTCTTTTTTGTTTGTCCTAGTACCTACCACCACCCTTTCCAGGGTCACCACGCTTTAACCATGGGACTAGCCGCGGTTGCTCCAGCATTATCGCAGCCATTGTGACCGCGGCGGTGATGGCCACTGGGTTGATCGCAGCGGCAATCATATTTCGAAGCGGTGGGTACCCCGTGACAACATGCCCAGCTGGGGGCAACCAGGTGGCCCAACCTATGGCCTTGAGTGGAAACAAGGTAAGTTTTTGTTTGTTTTGTTTTTTGCCGGTAATGAAGCTACGGGTCGCGCAGGTAGGGGTACCTGTCCGCATCGATTTTCTACAAAAAGAAGGAAGGACAGATGCTTTAAATCAGGTTTCTTCCTTATCTTTTATTTGTTAATATCAGGTCAAGAGGGCTGACTTGACGAACGGAAAGGGTGATCATTTGACGGAAGTCTTCGACTACGACAGACAATCCAACACCATTCTCATCGACTCTCCGGCAAACATTACCGAGAGCTCCTCCGCTGCCACCATCGCGGTGGACCTCGACCGGGTAAGTCCCTTTGTACTCCAGGCGTCATCTAGCTATTGCGCTAATTAATCTAGTGAACGAGTAATTCAAGACAGTATGCACTGACTGTTCATTTCGCAGTCATATCTTGTACGATGTCTACTTTTTAAAAACATCTTTATTCAGGATGAACATGATCAGCAAAGTTTGTTTTCACCAGAGTACTGATTAGAATACAATAAAGAATACACCACAATGGTGTATTTAACATTAAAGTACATTTCAAAGGGATAAAAAAAAAAATCCCGATACTCGTGTATATAAATATTCACACACTACTTAAAGTTACAAGGTAATTGGATATTATAAATCGATAAAATTAAATTAGTACAACAACCTGACGGCCAAAATCAGAAAACAGAGGTTTTGGCCCGTCACTACCACACAAACTAAGTACAATTTGTTTATTCGAGAGATGTTATCAAAATACACAATATTTCAGAGGTGTTTACTTTTTTCAATTTGTAACGAACACCTCTAAATCTGAGGGAGCGTCAACAATAGCGGCCCTTTTTTGTCGAAAAATAGTATTTTAGTATTTTGATAATAATTTTAAGGAGACCTTGAGCCACTAATAATTTCATTTCATATGAAAGAAAATAAAGTTATCTAATACCAATTTTGACGTAAATGGGATTAATCAATATCGGAATTGTAAGTAAGAAACCTTATTTTTGGTGATTTTTTTTCAAAAAACAGAATTTTATAAAAAAAAAAACATTATTTTTAATATATCGAAGGTAGTGAGGCGCCTCTTTTTTTCTTTTTTTTTTAATTTTTTTTTTTTTTTTTTTTTAGGAATTTGCCTATGTAGGCTACATGGATGATATCTTGTACGAATGAGAGGCTGATATCTATTTTCAGTGAAAAGTTATAGAAACCCAAATTTATAGATTTGAATCCCCCCAAAACTACATATTTGCCCATTTGTGTATTAACTGTATGCATATTATGTGTATTAGTGTATTGAGGACGTGTTTGGTGTATTAAAATTATTTTTAAAGATAAATTTAAAGTAAACCCTGAAATCACCAAAACCTTGGTATCATACGATGGATAATTAAATTACGTTCAAGGTGATATCAATTTCACTACGTCAATCAAATGACGCCTCCTGTAACGCTGGGCCTACGGTGGTGGGCTCCTTATCATAAAGAATGACTGCGGCCCGTCTGATAAGTATATGACAAATATGTTCATAACAAATTTAATATAAGGAGTTTAGTAGATTATAACAATTCTTGTATCTTGTAATTATTTAACCTGTTTTTATGAAACAGGGTCCTGATTTAACTTAGTCCATTGAGTTTTTAGCTTATTTTTTTGCTATTCTCCTGTTTTTTATTTCTTCACATTTTTTTTTACTAGTATGTCATGTTCATGGGTTTCCACGATTCCAACACCTGTGTCGGCCTCGCGATCAAAGACGACTTCGCCCAACAAGTGCGCGACTACGTCGAGGAGGACGGCCAAAATGTAAGAAATTCATATTATTTATGCTTTAATACATCCGGATTTTTTTTCTTAACCAAAGAAAACTAAATGACTGATTTATGTAGGCATGTATTTAAGACTACGTGTCTTTCCGGTGGTCTGACTCGGGACCAATCGGGTATAATAGGATGTTTTCGCAAGCTCAACGCGGACGGAGAATCTGCGGTTCGTGTGCAAAATCGAGAAGCTGCTGTTGTAACAGCGGAATGACCGCTGAAGTTCTGCAATCAAGCGCGTGCAACGTACGCGAAACCGAAGCGTGAAGAGAACTTCGGTCTGTTTCGCGAACGCTAGCACTGACCGTTAATCAAGTTCATTCGTTTACGTGCAGGTGTCCAAAAGAAGTCGTAGATGGCGTTAACCAGTATTTATCATGCTATACCCCCTTTAATAATTATGTATTTATAATTTAATATACACAAGAGAGAGAAGAAAAAAAGGTATCGCAAAAAAAGTGTTCAATTGATTTCTGTCTAGGCCTCCAAGTAAACGGGAATGGGAAGGGATGTAGGGGATGGGGGAGGGGTGAGGGGATAAACCAGCTCCCCCTCAAGCCGGAAACTCCCACAGACTTTGATTATGGACTTAATTATAAGCCTATTTGATAGGCTACGTTGGGCCATTAAAACTATCTTAAAGAAAACTGCTTCATTATTGCTACATGTTTATCATCATCATCATCATCATCATCATCACCATCACCATCTTCATTATTATGACTATTATAAAATGTGTGCATCAGCGCCTAGGTTAGAATTCATGCGATATAACTTGATTGCCTCTATGTTCTTTTCCCAGGTGATCGACATATCCAGTATCGCGTTCAACGTCGAGAACTACCGCCTAGTCAGCCAGATCCCGGCCGACTACTTCAAGGCCACCACCGGCCCGGTCATCCGCGGCCTCTGCTCCGGCCGCAGCACGTTCTGGGCGCTTCCGGTGACCGGGGAGGAGTACGGCCGTCTAAAGCGTTACGGCTGTTATAAGGAAAAATGGTGTTTTTGCATAATAGGTTTGTGCTTTTGCTTTAGCAAGGAAACATGCAGTTAAAGGTACTATGTCCCATTTGCAGGCCATAAAAATGAAAAGGTTATATTCCAACGGCATTTGAAAGATAATATTAATTTAGAACTTCCCTAAAAAAGTTGGGGCTTGAAAATGTCTTTAAGTGGGAAAATAACGACTATTAGTTGTCAAACCGACTTAGGAGCTATAGAGCCAATAAGTAATGGTCTTGATTTTTAGACCATTGTACCGAATGGTCTTACGTTTTATGCTGCGCAAAGATTCGATCAGTTTAATTTTGGCCATCACAAGAAGTGGGTTATTGATGTAGACAAATGCTCATGTACCCTTTACAGCTCATTTTATGTACACTGTCGCTCATAAAGGTGGAATATTTTAGTTTTACCCCAATTTATGGAAATATTAAAAAGATTATTTAAAAATAATAGATATAGATAATAGTATACATTCTCAGATTTTATTGAATAATAACTTGCCAATGTGTGTTTTGCGGAACTGCTAAAGCATGTGTATGCTACTATGCTTATTAATTAGGGGACCTACGCTCTCAAGTCATAAATGACAGTAATGAGGATTAATGCCCCACAAAAGGGCACTAATATAGCACATCGACACGGTTTTGATCCTGGGGCCTCACAGTTACGAGGCCATTGTTTTGTCACTGAACCATGACTGTACGCAGCGGGGTTAGGGTAGGGGGCAGTTTCCATAAATAAAAAAAACACAGAAAATGCAATAAATTTTCAATAATTTATTGCATTTTACCCCGGTCCCCAACATAAACAAATCATCTGGACGGCCATGCATTATGGCTCAAGGCATGGGCACACAGATTTTTGTTTATGTTAGGCACCGGGGTTAAATGCAATAATCCTCATTACTGTCATTTATAACTAAAGGGCATAGGTCCCCTTGTTGATAAGCATAGTAGCATACACATGCTTTAGCAGTCACGCAAAAAACACATTGGCAAATTATCATTCAATAAAATCTGAGAATGTATACTATTTTCTAGATCTTTTATTTTAAATTATTTTTAAAATAATTCCATAAATTGGAATTTAATTTTTTTTCCCACCTTTATGAGCGACAGTGTATGTTATTACCAAAAAAGAAAAAAGCCAGTCAGCCACTCAATAGTGTCCGACAGTGAAGTCTAGCAAGTAAACGGGTTTCCTTGCATAATTTGAATATCAGGACACCGCTAACGTTTAAATTTCACAGATAGGACATACATGACATATTCATAATTCCTGCAAAGTTCTACAGAATTTGAGGTTGACTGTTAAAGGGACATAGTACCTTTAAATGATGACGACGAATAAGGCTACGTTTAAACTCCATCAATTATCTCATAATCATGGTGAGCGCATGCAGTATTTCTAGTTTTTTAATGAATACAAATTATTCATTTTTAGAGCAAATAATTAATTAAAGGTGGTGTATCCCTTTAGCAGGCTAAAAAACCGAATCCTATGGTAAACAAGAGATAACACCAACGTAAAACTACCCTGAAAAGATTAGAACGGGTAATTGCCTTTATGTGAAATTATATCGACCGTTAGGAATTTTCGCAACGCGTCTCAAAAAATTATGTGTAGAAAATAGTTTGAATTATAGACCCTTGTTTCGTTTGGCGTAAATTTGTGCTGCGCAAAGATTCAATCAGCTTAATTTTGGGCATTACAAGAAGTGGGCCATTGATGTGTACAAATGTTCATTTTCTGTATGTTATTACCAAGAAAAAAAGAAGAAGTCACCCAGTCGCTCAATAGTGTTGGCTGACGGTGAAGTCTAGAAAATTTGAATACTAGGACAATGCTTACGTTAACGTTCACAGATAGGACATACGTGACATATTCATAATTCCTGCAAAGTTCTACAGAATGTTGGCTGCAAAAGGGACACCCAACCTTTAACGCACAATTGTATAACACATGTTTCATCTGAATTCTTTAAGACAAATTTGTTATAATCTTTACAAACAATTTTGATAATCTATATAATTTCAATGTCGAATCAATCAGGTACATTTTTATTACGCTTTTTTCATTGAAGTTAGTCTTTAAAACTAATGAAGCCATTTTGTAGTATTAATCCAGATATTTGAAATTGAAAATAGGCCATTAATTATCCATTTCGGAAAATATCTTTTTTTTGTACTGGTAAAGAGTTAATAAGTTTATTTTGTACAAAGAGAGATACTCAGAATCGTAGAGAGTTACAGTAATGGTACACACTAACTAACAAAAGCCTGACCAGTTGTAAGTGTAATAAGGGTGAAGTACAGTGGATATGGAATTGTGTCGTTTATGCCTGCCGTGTTTGATCATGCAATGTTTTGGCTGAGAAGACTTGCTTGATCTCTTAATCATGGTTAGCGCATGTAGTATTTTTAGGATTTTGTGATTACAATTTATTCATTTTAACGAATTATTAATTTTTTAGAGCAAATAGTAGGCCTACATTAAAAATTAAAAATGGTGAGATAAAACACGTTCTATCTGAATTATTTAAGACTCTTTATAATTATTTAATAACAATGTTGATAATCCATCTAATTTCAATCTAGATTCAATAAAGGACGAAATCTTAACGAAATTTTCAACTCAGATGTCATTAAATGGTTACCGAAAGCACATTATATTTGAGACTTAGAATTTCTGATTTATGTTGTAGATCTACGTCTGATATTGTTGAGTAAACGAGGGGAGAAGGGGGGGGGGGGAGGGAGAACAGACGTGAGTAGAACAAATAGGTGCATCAGAATGGAGACTAAGAGAAAAGGGAAGGGAGAGCGAGAAAGATTTTTTTTAATGGTGAGAGAGGCGATAAAGAGAGGATAGGAGAGAAAAGAAGAGAAAACAAGTGAGAGAGATAGAGACATGACAGAAGAGGAGAGAAGAGAGAAAGAGGGAGAGAGGGGGAAGGAAGGACACAAATAGTCGAAGAGATAGAGAAAGGATAGGAAAGAAGAGGGATAGAGAGAGGGAGTAAGAATAAAAAGAAAACAAGTGAGAGAGATAGAGATAAGAAAGATGAGGAGACAAAAGACAGGATAGAAGAACAGAGAGGGAAACAGGGCGAGCAAGATAGATAGAGAGGGAGAGATAGAGAGAGAGAAAAAAAATTGAGAAAATATAATACTTAATCATCATTTTGATGATTCCAGAACCTTGCAGTACATACCAATACTTATATGCTAGATAATCAACCTTTTCGGATCGATTCCACAACGTTTCTTTCACAATGCAATCGCATGACCATAACTGGTCTTTACCTTTACGTTAGTAGTATACACGGTAGTCCAGAATCTGGCCTATTTAATCTTGATCTCCACTACACCAACTCTACCTCCCTCTACTTACTTGCTACCAGCCGAAGATGGCGTGATCATTAAATTAGGACGCCGCGGGCGACTCGGGCAGGCTTGGTTGGTGAGCATGATTATGAGTTCGATGTTATCGCCATCTTCGGCGGCTTGAATCAACTAATGTGTAGGAAATATAAAGAACCGGCCAGATTTTTGACTAGACATGTATACACGGTTGCACAATACCCAAACGTTTGTCTTTGTTTTGCCCTTACTTCTAGAGGATATGATTCTTTAAATATCGTTTGTGTGTAAATATTGCATGACTGGCTGCCAACCTGTCGCCTATAGTTATCAGAAATGTTTTAAATTAAATTATGGGTTTCCCTTTTATTGGGATGCCTTATAATTATACATGGTATAGGAACACATCGTTTCATGGGGGTCAGACGTAACAAATAACTCGACCTTAAAAGGGAAGTATCTCCTGGAATTAAGTTGGTTATAATAGATAGAAGCATACAAATGAGAGGAACAGGTCAGTGGAAGTTTGGGCAAAAAACGATTAATTTAGGAACATTTTAATAATTTGTTGAAGTTGTCACCAGTGGAACACAGCTTGACAACACTGCGACGAATCATGCGAGCTCATCTGTAGAGGTGTCGTGGTCGAGTGAATACGTCACCGGACTGTCGATCACAATTTCCACCGCGGCACTAACATCCTTTGGAAAGATATTGATTCACATTTGTCACACTCAACCCAGGTGATGTAAATGGGTACCTGGCAGGAATTTATACCTTGAAATGCTAGGGTGCCGTAATGGGAGCTGTGCTAAAGTCAGGGTAATAAACTCCTTCTGCGACTAAGAATATTTTACTAGATCGAGGGCACATTATAAAAGCTGTAGTATAATCTCCGATTTATGCTCTCTACATACAATTTCATAAACTTTCATTTTCTAAATGATTGATGACGGAATCATTTTTTTTTCACACAGTGGTTGAATTAAACATATTTGCAATAATTATATTAAGGGTGAATACGTGAGTGAACTTTTTTTTAATGCTCCACTGTCCTATGTGTATAGCTACTTGCTCCCTCTATATAGAAAACTTCCCCAATCGGTGCCTGTTTGTCCCCATGATCCTCTTTTTCTTATGTTAGTTGAGGGCTGAGTTAATGAGATAGCCACATGTCAGTGACCTCGCTGTGTGGTCTAATCCCTCCTGGCCAAGTAGTATTGACGGTCTTTAAAGGAAAAAAACATAAAATGTTGACGTTTTTTAGTACAGGGTAAATGGCACACATAGCTGCATTACAATCCTGGCTGTTCTATTGATTCTCAACATTTCAAACACCACTGTACAAAACTCAATTGATTTCACTAAAAAAACGGTACTTTATTAATGACACTTAAATAGCAGTATCAAAAATTCTCTCAACTTATCGATGTTAGAAAGAATAAATTTGAAAATTCAAATCGTGATTCTACTGCCATGCTTGCCGATCAGCCCCATCGTCTTCATTGTGTGCATCTGTGTGAAATGTGTGTATTGACTATTCATGTGTGGAATTGCTGCCTCTTTGCACGTAGTACAGCACTAGAGGTAAATACGCATTTGCATTGACTCTCTATGGTTTGCTGGAGTGGGTGAATGGGAGGGGACCTCACAAGATACGTCAAAGAGTTGCCAAATCGTGTTTGATTGAATGCACCCTCATACGTTCATAACTTTCCTTTTTTAAATCGGTTTTTGCTCCATCTATCACTAACTTTTTCCCTCGTTGTTCTGCTTTTATTAATAACAGCTAAGTATTAGGATGGACTTCCCCTGTAACAGTGCATGCAGTGCACATCAATTCATTAAAGGAAACCTCACCCCAATGAATAACTTTAGTTGTTCTGAGAGATTTATTGCATTCTTGCACATCAATCTACACTATTCCTCACCAAAGTGTATGAGAAAGGCCTAAAAGCAAGAATACAGTACAGTTTGTCAACACGACATGTACATCGCCATTTTCTAGATAGCGTGACGTACTATGCGAAGTCGTTTATCAACTAAATGTATTCAAATTTAGGGATGCTTCATTCCCAGGTGTGTTTGGTGTTGAAGCATGTCATTCACCTGCTATTATCTTTTGTACTCCTATTGCCAGAACGCAAATTGCATGAATAAGTTGGTACTTTTCAGGGGTGAAGGTTTTGCATAATTGAAATTATTTGCCAACCGTTATACTTTAGTATTGTTAAATAAATGTGTTAAATATATGAATACAATTTTCACCCTGTTATATATTTTTCACCAAACATTATTTTTACCTTCTCAGCTATGATTTTCCCTCGTTAAAAAAAAGAGTAAAGGTGTAGTTGTGAATCTTATCTTTTGTTTCCATTTTTTCAACAGCCTGAGATATAAAAATCACAAATTGAATAAACCATAACAAAACAAAACATGTTAGTCAGAAATACCTTGTAATATTATGAATACAAAATAAAGTCTAAGAAACACTTTTTCTTCATGAAAAGAATAAATTTGAGAACGCACACATGTAAACAAAAAAATAATTTTCCTTCAAAATAATTATAAATACCTGCAAAGTTTATATCCAGGTATATAAAAGAAAATACTGAAATGGCCTCTACATTTCTATCAACACTTTTCAGAGTTAAACATTCAAGTATTACAAATCATTGATGCTGATTTCAAAACCAAATTACTAAAAGGGCGAAATTATTTGTAAACAGAAAAAGAAATGTCGATCAAAAAAAAATTCACCTAGATGTGGAAGAAATTAGCATGACTGGTATTCTTGTAAATACTACAACTTTAATGCACTAATGTACAGTTTTGTATAACAAGAAGTGTATCAAGCACACTCCTGCTGACACTCTGGATGTACAAAACACTTTTGCGTATTGTTAACCTAAAACTCAGCTCCAAACTTTCTCGTTTTAGAACTCTATTCACCCGTTCCAGTTTTGAAACAATGTCATCCTTCATTGAGTATACCTTTTTTAATCTCCTCATTCTCACCTCTCCCCTTTCTTACTTTCTCTTTCTCAATCTCATCCTGAACTCTCCGTTTGTGGGTGTTCGCATATACATTGATGATACCTGCTGATAGTTAATGATCGGTCGTTTCTTTTTCTTCTCATAAATGAACTTATATATACCTAGTAGGTTTGATTTATTTCGCTGTTGAATCTAATATTGTGTTTACTTTATATGGGCCTCATGTACAAGCACAAGTGCATCTTAGAAGTTCTGGGTTATAATTCTTTCTTTTTGACGATTTGTAATATTTGTTATAATGCCAAATAAACTGAATTATCATAAATATCATATTTTAATTAAGAGGAATACGACCTATATTAATTTGTTCTGAATACGTAGAATTTGCCAGAGGCTGTGGCTCTCTGTGTGAGCGTATCTCTATCTCCCACTTTCTCTCTCTCCCTCTCTCTCTCTCTGAGCGCATCTCTATCTCCCTCCCTCTCTCTTGCTCTCTCTCTCTCTCTCTTCCTCCCTCTCTCGGCCCTCCTCCTTCTCCCCCTCTCTCTCTCTCTTTATCTCTATTCCCCCTCATATGCCCTCTCTCAATCTTTTTATTCTCTCTCTCTCTCTCTCTCTCTATATATATATACACCTTTGTAAAAGTTCGCTTGGACTTTTGTTGGTTCTGTTGATTCCTGGATCATCTTGGGCGACCAAATCTCTCCGATGAAGAAAGAAAGTACATAAGAGTTCAAAATAACAGGAAACACCCACCTCGTTTTAGGCACGGCATTCTTTGTGAAAAATATTGGGAAAATCCCCAAACATGATCTCCCAACAAATTATAGCCAGATGTCCTGATAGTTTGCAGACACAAGCCTGTCCAGTCGCTGTTCGCAATAGTGTCTTCAGTGAGACTAGTCCTGAGGGCATACTGTAAAGGCTCTACTTTATAGCTGAGTTGATCGATGCAGCCAGAGACTACTAGCTAGACTCTACTGAGTGCTTTAGTCACTGGTTAGATATTATTCACTAGGGAATTTGAAAAATGTATACCCTTTCTAGTTCACGTGAGAACTTACGTACTTGTTCCGTGAAACAATTCGCAGTTTATTAATTCCTTGTTGATTTAGAAGAAAATCATCAGGAGGATTGTAGAATCAGCATATCCCATGTTTTTCTGTTATCTTATGGCCTAGGAGGTCATAAACTGTCCTGTGCCGATGATGTGTTTAATTATTTTTTTTAAAGCAATGAGGCTCCACTTTTTGTGATGAAAAATAAACAGTACGATAGTTCACCAGAAAAGTTTGGGTGCAAAATTAGGTAAATCCCTCTATTCCACATATGTTTATACTGGGAATTCTAATTAATCATAAATGAATACAAAAGAAAGAAAATTAATTTAAGTTAGAAAACAGGTAAGAAAGAAGGAAATAATTGAAAGTAAGAAAGAAGGAGAGAAATTTAATTTCTCTATTTCTTTATAATTTACCTTAAAAGTAAATTATAAAGTAAACGAGAAAAAGAACTAGAGCTTCGCTTTTTACAAAGACCCCTAAAGTACCCTTTTTTACGTAGAGAAATTGTTCTATTATCTTCCTAATAAACCGCCTCCTCCTAATTGTCATAAATGTCCTTTTTGCCTGTGATAAGTGTCTCTATCCAAATCTGATAGGCGCCCCTTGCACTGTGACAAGTGTCCTTTTTCCTCTGTAGTAAGTGTATTTTTCCTTTTTCATAGGTGTCCCTCAAGTTTTCACCTCCGATGATAGTCCAATTTTTTGGTATGATTAGTACCCATTTTCTTTTCAATTTAAGTGGCTTTTGCCCTTCTAATTAGTTTTCTAACCCAACGGTTACTTCATTTACCTTTCCAAATATCATTCATATTAATGTTAAAAAGAAATATGATTTCCTTACGTGCTATGACAATATATTTTTTACCACCCCTCACATCCCAGAAACAATTAACTTCTAATTGCCTCACTTACCTTGTGTCATATATTTAAATCCACCGAGACCAATTTTTCTCCAATTTATCGCATTCATAATTCATCTCATTTATGTAACATTATGAATTTCTTATTCATCCTTTCACCATGCTTAAAATCTCAACAGGATTGGTGAAGTCATCTGATAATAAGATCTAATCGGTCGCAATGCGACCTCTCAAAATTAGATTTTGCATTTTTGATCACTCGCTTCTCTCGGTCCAGACCATCACACTCAACTTCCAATCATGGTGGCGAAGCAGTATCTTGGACCACGTACCTGTTAATGTAATAGGGGGTATATACCAATGTTTTACAAAAATACTGTTTCCGCATTGAGGTTACCTTTTTTGGTGCGTCCCCTCACGGCATAAGACGCTCCGCCGCCATTGGACCAGTATACTTAAGTAGACTAAACGCTGATACCCCCGCCCCGCCCCCCCCCCCCCATGACTGAGCCCACGTTACCCAACTGTCTTTCATTATAACCTATAAAAAAGAAAGAGAACATCAGAGAAAAAGCTGTTCCCTAAAAAGCATTGTTCTGCAAATACCTTCATGTTATAAATATGACATGTAACAGCCTAAAAATCGGACCTCATTTTTTATGCCACATGTTTGTGTAGTCCCATATACATCTTTCTATGTACAATTTCTTTTTATACTTTTACAAAGACTGTGCCAAATTTGTTTTGATTTTGATGATTCCAGAACCTTGCAACACACCAATACTTATATGCTAGGTAATCAACCTTTTCTGATCCATTCCACGACGATTCTTTCACAATGCAATCGCATGACCAGAACTGGACTTTAACTTTAACTCTCACTTACAAGCGTCTCAATAATCAGGCCCAAGCATACCTATGCGATCTACTCCGTTCGCACACATCCGTGTCTAATTGTATCCAGACGCCTACCCCCTCGCCTGGACATCCACCCCGGATAACCATCCCCCCCCCCCCCAGTTAACTACCCCCTAGGGCAACTACCCCCAGGGCAACCACCCTCTAGGACGACTACCCCAGGATAACTACCCCTCGGACAACTACCCCCTAGGACAACTACACCCGGACAACTACCCCCGGGCAACTACCCCCAGACAGCTAACCCCTAGGGAAGTTGTCACAGGGGTAGTTGTCCTATAGAGTAGTTGTCTGTGGTGGTGGGGGGGGGGGGGGGTTATACGGGGGTAGTTGTCCCGGGGGAAACATATTAATAGACTCTGTGAAATTCAAGGATATAGAATGGTGTTATGTATTATTTTCCGACGTGGGATAACGAGAAAAAAAACGAACACAAATATTACAGATATTACATAGAAGCTTGGTCAAGATAAAAAGGAGTAATACTTATGATAAAATGGGGGAGATTTAAGTTTTATTAGAATTTTTTGAGTAAGATTAATGGAGAAGTTAAGCAAAGCCCTCAAAATGATTTAGTAAGAAAATGAGCGATGTTATGAAAGAGTCATATTAAATAGATAATGGAGAGAACAAAACCAACTAACAAAATAATTCACTTTCACCAAAAATAATCAAAAGAGAAAAGGGTTGACTGACCCAAATTAAAACGACCATGTGTAATTGATCACACATTTTTGTCCTTTAACACTTCCTCCAAAATACTATCTATGTTTACATTTTAAAACATGCACATATGGTAACTATATGGTTTGATGCCATAAGCCGACAAACTGCAGGAGGAAAAGTGTCACTCGGGAGGGGGCGTGTCTATTTTCATCGAAAAAAAACTTTAAAAAGCTTGTAAATTTGGACGAAATCATCATTTAGAGTGAGCAGACAATAATTAAGGTTTATCCAACAGCTTACTTTCTTTCAATATTTACGACATATCTCGTATCCCAGCAGAATGGACTCCAAGACTGCAAAAATGCCAGAGGTGAGATTTATCCGGGGGGGGGGGGGGAGTGGGGGCGGGAATACATTTGTTCATAACAAAAGTGTTTTGCTGTCAACAACATTTTGTAAGAATTAAACGCATGCTTATTTTCCTTTCTTTCTTTCTACCTTGCCTTTTCTCCCTTTCTTTGAGTAATCCACACAAATGAAAGCTTTTTAGTGGATTTCTTGGTTCCTTCAACATTTGACTTTATTTATGTTTGCTGATATATTTTGTATCCGTGATTACTATCTACTAATATTTTTGTATGATAAATTGCAAATGGCATATACATTTTCTTGTAAGCATTTCGTTTCATGTTTTTATTGAGTTATAGAAATAAAATTATTTGAATCTAATTAAAGAAACGACATGAGAAATTATGTGTGATTAAAAAAAATGTGTATCTAATAAATATTATGCCTAGGTTTCTCCAAGTGCCAAATTCATCTGAAAATCTTTTCTCCTTTCTTGTCCTAGTACATGCCACCTCCATTCCCAGTGTCACCACGCTTTGACCATGGTACTAAACGCGGTTGTTGGAGCGCTATAGCAGCCGTTTTGACCGCGGCGGTGCTGGCCTCTGGGTTGATCGCAGCGGCAATCATATTTCGAAGCGGTGGGTACCCCGTGACAACTTGCCCACCTGGGGCTGGGGGTGACCAGGTGGCCCAACCTATGGCCTTGAGTGGACACAAGGTAAGTTTTTGTTCGTTTGCCAGTGGCGTAGCTACCGGGCGGGTGGTTGCACAATAATATGGAAACGTTGCATCATCCGTTCAATCTGAATTGCGTGCATAGAACCAATTTTTGCATGAAAAAGTGAAGTTTTCTAAATGGTCCGTTTCTTTCCAGCATTGGGGTGCCCGGGAGTCACTTGGGTAACCTTTCAAAAAGTATAATAAAAAAGCACCCTTTCTGTACTTTTGTCGGAAAAACATAGTACTCCCGCACAATGTAGTCACTTTTTGCATTGGAGAAGAATAAAATAGCGAGTTTCAACCGCACTTCGGCCGCTCTCGCAAGTCCTCATCCGTTCCATTGTGGTCAGACGGCTTTGGGGTGAGCGGCTAATGAATATACAACTTGTAAGCTTTTTGTATTAATCTTGTTCCGATTGGTTGTATATTGTTGTCAGAATATAGTCATTCACATAATGGACCCATCATCCCGATGAAGCCAGTGGCCAGTAACTCTGCACTCAACACTGTGTGGAGTGCGCGCGCGCGCGCGCGCGCGTGTGTGTGTGTATTATGGTTTTTACAGACGTGTATTAATCAGATATGATTATTAACGTCTGGGACCGACCTTTAACGTCACCATCCGAAATACGTGACTCAGTTTCCAACCGGGGTCGCCTGAGTCAGTTTGTAGCCCAGGACTTGGAGATGACCAAGTGAACGTGCCGCTAAATTGCCTAGTCAACTTCTTTTATGAACAAAATCCAAGCAAAATGTTTCCATATTGGGGGGGGGGGGGGGCACCTGTTCAGAGAGAGAAATGCGTCCTTAATCTAGGATAGTTGTTGTCCCTTAAAAGCTCATTCCTCTATGAAAGACAGATGATGAAATCAGGTTTGAATTCAGCGATTTCATCCATATCTTTTCATCGTTTATATCAGGTCAAGAGGGCTGACTTGATTACCGTAAAGGGTGATCATTTGACAGAAGCCTTCGACTACGACAGGCAATCTAACACCGTCCTCATTGAATCTCCAGCAAACATCACTAAGAGCTCCACCGCTGCCACCATCGCGGTGGACCTCGACCGGGTAAGTCCGTTTGGGTTAACTTGGTTCAATGATTTCCTGGTGTCTATTTTAACTTCAAATTTTACCTGCAAAAAGGGGAATAAAATTACAATTTTTGTAAAAACATAGCAAAACGTGTTTATAATGTACTGTATCTTTTTATAGAAAGTAATGAACAATTGCTTGGTACATATTTTTTTTATTTTGTATACATTCTCAACATTAAGAAGATCGCAAAAACTTTCGAGATATATCGAAATATCAACCTATAAGGAAATTTCACCTAACGCACGGTGGGAACATCTCAGTCGACCTATCACGTACTCCAAAAATGATTCCTATATGGGTATTTAGAACAGGGCTTTGAAAATGATTTCCTGTGATTTCTTGATATGATACCTCGAAAGTTTTGTGATCTCGTTTAATCCGTAAGATGCCACCATGACCTCACTCTAATCCATCAATGTAATAGGAAACAGGGCCACAATGTACTAATTGGTTTCCTATATGTTCCTGTTTTTTTTCTTTCATAACCTTTACCAGTCTGTCATGTTCATGGGTTTCCACGATTCCAACACTTGCGTCGGCATCGCGATCGATGAAGACTTCGCCCAACAAGTGCGCGATTACGTCGAGGACATCGGCCACAATGTAAGAAATTTCATATTATGCTTTATTACGATCAGAACATTAAACAAAACAAAAAGCAAACGTTAATGAATGAATAATATGGGCTGCATTAGTTACACTGTAGTTATAATTGTACAACCACCAAGGAAGGAAGCAAGCAAGAAAAGGGAAATATAAATCAAGATAGATGGAGAGAAGAAAAAGATATCACAAAGATTCAATATATTTTTGTCATCATTATTATTATAAATATTATCATTATTATTATTATTATTGTTATTATTATTAGTAGTAGAAGTAGTAGTAGTACTACAACTACTAGTAGTAGTAGTGGTAGTATTAGTATTAGTAGTAGTAGTATAATCGCCATAAATCATCATCTTCATTAGTTTCACTGTTATAACAATGTGTGCATCAGCGCCCTAGGTTATAACTCAACCAAAATAAACCGATTATCACCACCCGAATATTCTTTGCCCAGATTATCGACATTTCCAGTGTCGCGTTCGACAAGGAGAACTACCGCCTGGTGGGCCAGATCCCGACCGGCTACTTCCAGGCCACCACCGGAGCGGTCATCCGCGGCCTTTGCTCCGGGCGCATCATGAACTGGGCGCTTTCCGTGACCGCGGAGGAGCACGACCGCCTTAGACGGGAGTCGTGCGTTTCCATTGAAACTTGTACCTGCATAATAAACTTGTGCAAATGCGAAACAACGACCATTTGCACAAGTTAATGATGATGACGAATACAGCTACACGATTGGAACGCGCCCATAGCACCCATGAATTATCTCGTAATCACGGTTAGCGCATGTAGATTTTCTATAGATTTTTTTTTATAAATACAAGTTATTCGTTTTGAGCAAAAAATACACTGAAGTAAAAATAAATAGAATATTTTCAATCTGAATTCTTTGAAGGGACTTGGTAACATTGTTCAGACGAGAGAAAATGGGCTGAGGAAGTTAATTCAATGCTTTATTTACAATTTAAGATAATCTGAAAGTTTTAGTGAAAGCAGATCAAACATTGGGAAAAACTGATTTGATCGATTCCTAAATTATCCCAACTATATTATTCTAATTTTATTAAATTGTAAGTGAATGTAAAACGTCACAAGGCAATCATTTGGCTCTGTATACCATTCCAAAAATTAAGTGATATCATATTTCTATGGAAATACGGTTGGGAAAATTCAACATTGGTTTGGAGAGTTTACTCTAAGATGGGATTGCACATCGACGCCTTCAAAGAAAATCATAAATATCTTTGTAGTTTGAGAAATGTTTAAGGATTTTGTTCATGTTAAAGGGTTAGTAGGCCTTCAGGAGAAGGTTAATAGCTTTTCATTATGTTCCTTGCATTTCACCCTGTATAACCTACCATTTAAATTTAAGAATTGATTATATAATGGGATGATTTGAGTGTTTTACATATTATGTTCTAATTTTGTCAAGCATATGAATTCTGTTTTATGAAATGTAAAACCAAAAAACTTGAAACTCACATGTAAAAACTGTAGGACTGTTAACCAATTAAAAACTTGTTTTAAGACACATTTATTCAAAAGTGCTTTTGGTGATAAATTTACTCTGTTTATATTGATGTATATTTCATATGTATGTATGTATGTTTTCTTTTTGTTTTATTCAATACGTAATTGTTTATCATTGTATTTTGTTTGTTACAGCACTTAGAGACTTCGGTGATAAGCACTTTATAAGCACCGTTTTTATTATTGTTATGATATTCAGCAAAATTACACAGTTTTTTCATCAACCTTCAACAATTTTACCGATTCATTTTAAGACAACAATTCTGTTAACCTATCTAATTTTAATGTACATTCAATAAGATACAAATCCACATCGTTTTATTTTTATTGAAGTTAGTTTTACCGGGTACTAGTCATGAGCTTGCGGGGAGGGATGGATAGATTGATTTTTAACGAAATGTTCAACTCCGAAGTCATTAAATGGTCACCGAAAGCACACTATATTTGAGGCTAAGAATTGTTGATTAATGTTGTAGATCTACGGATGTTGTTTTCGAGGGGGAAGTGAGAAGGAGAGACGTGAGACTAAGAGAAAAGGGGAAAGGAAGAGCGAGAAAGATTTGTTAATGGAAATGTGAGAAAATGGTAGAGTTAGGATAGGAGAGAAGAAAAAATAGAGAACAGAACAGAAAATAAATCGGAGAGATAAAGACAGGATAGGAGAAAAGAGAAGAGAGAGGGAGAGAGAGAGTCAAAGAGAAAACAAGTGAGAGAGATGGAGACAGGAGAGGAGAGGAGGGACGAAAAGAGAGAGATAGAGAAAAATAAGTGAGATAGATAGACATAAGATAAGAGAGAAGAGAAAAGGAGAGAGAGAGGAACATGGAGAGACAGAAAAAAAGCGGGACAGAGAGAGAGAGAGAGAGAGAAGTTCGAGAAAATATTATACTTGGGTTTCCTTTTTATTGGGATGCTTTGTATACATGGGATAGGAACATACCGTTTCACAGAGGTCGATTGTGACTAACGGCTCGACCATAAAAGGGAAGTCCAGAAGCAAAACAATGGGGAGGAACAGTTCAGTTTTTGGGCAAACACCGATTAAAATAGGAACGCTATGATTTTATGAAGTTGTCATCAGTGGAACACAACTTGGCAACACTAGGACGTATCTTGCAAGCTCCTCTTCAACTTGCTCTGTACAGAAAATTCCATAAACGTTCATTTTCGTAGTTATTGATGAAAGAACAGATTTCTTTCATACAAGGGATGTATATCGTATATAAAAACATAATTATTTTCGATAAAAATATTTAGGGTGCATGTATGATTAACAAATCTCTTAAGGGAAAATATAGATTTTTTAAAAGTTGTTTTAGTACATAGTAAAAGGTATGGGACCTCGCAAGAAACTTTAGAGAGTTACCAATATGTGTTTGATTGACTGTACCTAACCCCTTTCATAAATCCATTACTGTTTTAATTTTAATCGGTATTTGCTTAATCTTTCACTTATTTGTTGCTTTTATTTTCTGCTTTTAACGATACCGGCTAATTAGTAGGGTAGACTCCCCCTGTAAAAGTGCATCGATTCATTCAAAAGGTTCCGTGGTATAGTTTTGAAACATATGCAATTGTAAAGTAATGTTTTTTTTTTGTTTTTTTTTACTAGACATTAATCTACACTTGCCACTTTCCCATCAGATGAAGTAAATGAGTGCCGATTGAAACTCCTTGAGCATCTTATTAGAGGAGCTTTGCCAAAATCGGAGTAATAGTTTAGCGCTTTATGTAAATTTCGGCAGGTAATATATGCATTTAGTAGCTGTGCTATGGACTTATTATTGAATATTTTCTTCTTCTAATTTGTTTTTACAGTTTAGGGAAAATTGTTATAACTCCTACCCAAAGCCCAAACTCTTTTTGGTGGAGTCATGTACCTGCACGAATGTTAACTGAAACTACAGTTCAGTTCAGTTCAGTTCAGTTTAAGGGATAGTTGAGTTCTGTTTTCAGACCACAAATGCCTTCTAAGTGCATGGTCATTGCTCTTATTCTAATCTATGACATTTCTAGTGCCCTTTTAGAACCTTACATTGCTATGAAGGTAATTTTAGACCCCAAAATGTGTGAAATTTAGCCAATACGATCATTCCAATTCAGCTCCACTTTCTAAATAATACGGTGACCGTTAATTAATTATTTAATTAAAAATAACAATACATGGACCGGCTGGTAGTGCGTAATATAACCAACACGAAAATGCCAACAAAAAGCCAACATCGGCATTGGCTGATATACGACGTAAAAGGCGCTATTTCGTTTTTCCAACGGCTTTTTCAAATTATCTAATATTTGTGGTGGTACACAAGTATTAGAAATCGTTAGATTTATGGATATTTCAGCCGTCTCTGAACCGATTTTGATCAAACAAAGATGATATTGACATTTAAATTGTGGATTAGCACACACTAGGTAAAGCTCTCCACAGGGCTCTTAATATTTGCTATTTTCATTGTATTAATGTATTGCTTGTATCTGTACTTGTTATCATTTGCTTAAGCTAGTTATCTAGATGCAGCTAGACCTTTTTCAGGGCGTTTATGCTTGTTTCTGGGTATCTTAAGTTAATACAATTTTTGGCAACATTACCTATCTTAGTCAAGGCAAGAAGCTATGGCTGCCTGCACATTGTAAGTACATGTACTATTTTGTCTATGTGTAATGTAAGTCTTTGTATGTGTTAAGTACATGCACTGTACCAGAACTTTTACACAATGGGATTCTTTCATCTGTGCCTGCTTGTTGCTGTGTGTCTACATATTTGCCTGAATGGACCTAAGCACTACAATGGAAAGCCATCTGGTCATCCTCTTGTTCAGCAACCTTACACTAGAAAGCAGTTTCTACAAAGAAGGGTCTCCTACAGCTCGAACTGTGATGCCACCTTTCAGGTCGAGTTATTACAAAATGGAGACATTGAGCCAAATCCCGGTCCTGACAGGCAACCGTCTACGACATCACACATCACTGGAACTGGCGATGTTCGTCCCCCTGAGATCTCTTCTAAACCTAATAAAGTGAAGTATACTTCAATGGAGCTTCTACAATGGAAAGATTGTAAGTTACCAATATCTCGTTGTGTACTTAAGACCATCAGATATCTTGGAATTTATAAGCGTAAAAAGAAAACCAGAAGGGGAACGCATGGCAGTCGTCATAAGAAGACTTCTTATTGTGAACATTACTCCATTCCTGTTATTATTCAGCCACGCACGGGCCTACAGGCCCAGTCACAGAGTGAAGTTTGCTTGAATCAACGACAAATTATTCAAGCAAACTTGACTGTTGTGAAAACTGTTCCTCATTTTACTAAGCTGTGTACCTTAAACATGAGATCTGTCAGGAATAAAATTTCAGCATTCACTGACTTTGTTATTGAGAATGACTTTGACATAATAGCTATTTGTGAAACGTGGTTGAGAGATGGTGACAACGCTGTTATTAGCAGAATTACTCCTGATGGTTACAGCTTTCAACATAGACCTAGGGAGGAGAAGTCTGGAGGAGGAGTTGGTCTCTTGTTTAAATCATCTTTGTCTATAACTGTTCAGCAGGTTACACCGTACAGGTCCTTTGAATGTCTTCATGTACTGGTTACAAGTGACTCCCGTTCAGTTAGGCTCATCATCGTTTATCGTCCAGAAGTTTCTGATAACCAAGGGCGTCACCTACCATTTGGCATATTCCTTGATGAGTTTGGCATGATGTTAGATACATACCATCTTGGCTCTTCTGAAGTCTTGTGCACAGGAGATTTCAATATTTGGGTTGATGATGAAACTAACAGAAACGCAAGGCAGTTTCGTGATCTGTTGTCTATGTATGGGATGAAGCAACATGTTCTGGAATCGACACATCGCTGCGGACACACATTAGATCTTTTTATATCTCGAGAATCAGGAAATGTTCTCTCGGATGTCGCCATTCTACCGGGACTGTCAGATCATTTTGAAATCCAGTGCAACCTACTTCTAAGGAAACCTAAACCCATTCGTAAGTCCATTGTCACTCGTAACTTAAAATTAATGGATCGTCAGGAGTTTCAAACTGGTGTCCATGCTGCGTTATCTTCCATCGATTTTAATCATGATACTGTTGATTCATGTGTTGCACAGTATGAGAACTCTCTCCACAGTTTACTTGATAAACTTGCTCCAAAGAAGACTCGAATTATTGTTATCAAACCTCAGTCACCATGGATGACTGATGACATTCGTAGCGCAAGACGCCTTCGACGGAGACTTGAGCGGCGTTGGAGGTCTTCTAGAATCCCTGCCGACCGCATTCTCTACATGGAGCAGAAGCAACATGTGTCTCATCTTATAGACCAAGCACAGAAACAGTACTATTCTTCTTCCATTGATGATTGTTCAGGAGACCAGAAACGTCTGTTTAGAATTATTAATAAGTTATTAGACAGGAAGAAGGATCCATTATATCCCAACACTGATAATGATCATAATCTTGCTAATCGTTTTTGTGATTATTTTGTAGATAAGATAAAAAGTATTCGAGAAGAGTTAACTGATTTAAGTTCTTACAGACATATTGACACCCTTTTAGAAATTGTTCCTGTCCCTTCTACTGGCATGTCAGAATTCACTCTCGCCACATGTACTGAAATTAGAAAAATCATCATGAATTCCCCTGTGTCTTCTTGTGATTTAGATCCGATACCAACTTGTCTAATTAAAGAATTTGTCAATGACTTTGTTCCTTATATCACTCAGATAGTTAATAAATCTCTAAAGTGTGGATTCTTTCCCGATTGTTTACAACATGCCCTCATAAAACCCCTTCTGAAAAAACCCTCTCTTAACAGACAAGATTTGAAAAACTACAGACCAATTGCTAATCTAAAATACTTAGGCAAGGTAATAGAAAGAGTTGTTTCCGGTAGACTACAGTCTCACTTAAAGAATAAGAGTTTGCAAAATCCTTTCCAGTCAGCATACAGGGAGATGCATAGCGTGGAAAGTGCATTGTTACGGGTAAACAATGATGTATTAATTGGTATGTATAATGGAAATGTCTCTGGTTTAGTACTGCTTGATCTCAGCAG